AGTGGGGACTTAAAATCTTAAAATGGTGCCGTTACTTTGGAAAAAACCTTGTCAGTTCTTCAAAAAATTAAAAATAGAGTTATCATGTGAACCAGAATTTCCACTCTTAACAAAAAATTTTACATAAAATTTATGACAGCATTATTTGTAATAGGAAAAATGGAAACAGTTCAAATGTCCATCTGCTGATTAATGGATAAAATGTGGTTAATCCATATGGTAGAATATTATTTAACAACAAAGTGAATAAAGTACTAATATACTGCTACATGTTATAAAAGAAAAAAATCCTTGATAATATTATGGTAAATAAAAAGATACAGTTATAAAAGATTACATATTTTATTATTCTGTTTATTTAAAATACCCACAATAAGCAAATCTAGAAATAGAATGTAGATTTGTGATTGCCTGGGGCCACCACTAATGGGGACATGTGTGAGGAGGAGGATTGACAGCTAATGAGTATAGAGTTATTTTTATGGTGACAAAGTGTTCTAAAATTAATTGTGGTGATGGTTTTAAAATTCTGAATATACTAAAAACCATTGAATTATATAGTAAAAATGGATTAATTTTTTGTGAATTATGTCTCAGTAAAACTTAAAAAATATGATTGTCAGATAAAATGTAGTGTGCTCAGTTAAATATGATTTTGAGATACATAGTGAATGACTAGCATAAATATATCCCAAATATTATATATTATAAAACTATATTACATTTATAAATAAAATGTTTATTTTATAAATAATTACCCATTGTTTATCTCAAATTCAGATTGAACTGGGTGTCTTATATTTTTATTTGATAAATTTGGCAACCCTACATCAAGACAAAATAGCCTGGGCCCAGACAGCAGTTTATCTGGTTTTTCTTTAAATAACTGCCTAAAGCACTCCAAGGGAGCTAGCTTCACATCTAGTTACTTATACAGTATATACAGAACATAAGTATTTCAACCTTGCATAACTTAGCACATTTTATGCATGTCTTGCTACTATTGTATTAGTAATATCTGTTTAATATACCTAAGTAATTTAGCCCTTGCCAAAGTATACAATTTTAATAAAAAGAAAAAATGTCATATCTTTCTTGTTTATATCTTGGGCATATTGCTGAAGAAGTATGTGATGGTTACTACTGAGTGTCAACTTGATTGGATTGTTAATCATTGGCAAGTTGTCAATCATTGGCAAGTTGATTGGAGTGTCAACTTGATTGGATTCAAGGATGCAAAGTATTGATTCTGGGTATGTCTGTGAGCATGTTGCCAATGGAGATTAACATTCGAGTCATTGGGGTGGGAAAGGCAGACCCACCCTTAATCTGGGTGGGTACCATCTAATCAGCTGCCAGTGCAGGTAGAATATAAAGCAAGCAGAAAAACATGAAAAGGCTAAACTGTTGGGAGAACTGGGAACACTTTTACACTGTTGGTGGGAGTGTAAATTAGTTCAGTCATTGTGGAAGACAGTGATTCCTCAAGGATCTAGAACCAGAAATACCATTTGACCCAGCAATCCCATTACTGGGTAGATACCCAAAGGACTGTAAATCATTCTACTATAAAGACACACGTACATGTATGTTTATTGCAGCACTATTTACAATAGCAAAGACTTGGAACCAATGTAAATGCCCATCAATGGTAGACTAAAGAAAATGTGGCACAGATACACCATGGAATACTATGCAATTATCAAAAGGAATGAATTCATGTTCTTTGCAGGGACATGGGTGAAGCTGGAAACCATCATCCTCAACAAACTAACACAGGAACAGAAAAGCAAACACTGCATGTTCTCACTTATAAGTGGGAGTTGAACAATGAGAATACATGGACACAGGTAGGGGAACATCACACACTGGGGCCTGTCGGGGGTTGAGGAACAAGTGGAGGGATAGCATTAGGACAAATACCTAATGCATGCGGAGCTTAAAACCTAGATGCGTTGATAGGCACAGCAAACCACAATGGCACATGTATACCTAAGTAATAAAGCTGCACGTTCAGCACATGTATCCCATAATTTATAGTAAAATATAAATAAATACATACATGCATACATACATAAATAAATGCTAGACTGGTTTAGCCTCCAGCCTGCATCTTTCTCCTGTGCTGGATGCTTCCTGACCTCAAACATCAGACTCCAAACTCCTTGGGAGTTTGGAGCTTTGGGACAGACTGGCTTCCTTGCTCCTCAGCTTGCAGACGGCCGACTGTGGCACCTTGTGATTGTGTGAGTTAATACTACTTAATAAACTCATATATATATGTATCAGTTATTATATATGTTATATATCAGTTATTATATATATCAGTTATATATATATCAGAAGTATATATATATATCTGATATATATATCAAAAGGATATATATATATATGTATATATATCCCATTAGTTCTGTCCCTCTAGAGAACCCTAATACAAGGAGATTTTCTCTATTTATATAAAATATTTAAATTTGGTAACTTGTAATCTAAACCTTTGGAGACAATTTCAGAGTATAACTGAGAATTTACATAGTAGTCAGATTATTTAAAACATAACTTCTATCTATCACTTATATATCCAAGTAGATTTTGAATACATTTATCTAAGTAACCCACCTTGCAAACTCATACAGTCCTTTTTTGTTTAGTAACATCTGGGGTTATTTTTAAGTCAAAGTAAAGTTATAGAAACCTGTAAATATCAAAATCTTTATTGTCATACCTCAAACCTCATTTTAATGGTTTATCCAATTTTAGTATTCACTATAGTCTCTAGCATTGAGTAGAGAATGATGTTTGCCTAATCTTAATAGCAAATCTACAATCATATAATAAAGATTTTCCACAACTGAGGAATTATTCTAAAAATGTTGTCAACAATAGGAACATCACTGGAATAAAAACAAAGTCTGCCAATGTGACATTTACTTATTCTGATATGTGTCTCAATATTTTGAAAACTTACAGAAATGAGGCAAGTCTTTACTGAATTTTTAAAATAATCTCAACTCTATAGAATCCAGTCTAACAGAAACATTGATTTTTTGTGTGTGCCAAGCACAAGATCTACAATTTAAAAAAATAGCAGACATAGTATCTATTCACATTGAGCTTAATGCTTAGGAGGAAAACCATAATGCACAGGCATAATTACAAAAAAATCATTATAATCATTGTAATTATTTGTGCATATCTCTGAGTATTTTTAAAAGCTCTTAAATCTTTGCCTTTTCTTTTTAAGGAATTTTCTCGGATGTTTGAATTCTAATCAGTAGCACATACATATGATTTTCTGTCTCACAGCAGTTCAGAATTTGCAAACTAGAAGCAATATGGAAAGAAAAGCTCTGATAGAGTCAGACATCTAATAATAGAAGAAGTGATAAGGAATAACTGACAGCAAGAAAGAAAATAAAATTAAAAAGTCTATAGACATATACATGTATCCTAGCTCAATAGTCTCTGTTCTTCAAACTTTTATCTTCATGAATGAAATTCATTCTTCAAAATAAACCATATCTGGAAGTTAAACAAAAGAAACCCATAAATTCAACGCTACTCTTATGAAGGTAAAAGAGGGACAGGGAAATGTGGTTGAAAGGAATCAAAGTCTGACTTTAACAGGTGCTGGAGAGGATGTGGAGAAATAGGAACACTTTTACACTGTTGGTGGGATTGTAAACTAGTTCAACCATTATGGAAAACAGTAGGGCGATTCCTCAAGGATCTAGAACTAGATGTACCATATGAACCAGCCATCCCATTACTGGGTATATACCCAAAAGATTCTAAATCATGCTGCTATAAAGACACATGCACACGTATGTTTATTGCGGCACTATTCACAATAGCAAAGACTTGGAATCAACCCAAATGTCCATCAGTGACAGACTGGATTAAGAAAATGTGGCACATATACACCATGGAATACTATGCAGCCATCAAAAAGGATGAGTTTGTGTCCTTTGTAGGGACATGGATGCAGCTGGAAACCATCATTCTTAGCAAACTATCACAAGAACAGAAAACCAAACACCACATGTTCTCACTCATAGACTCATAGGTGGGAACTGAAAAATGAGATCACTTGGACTCGGGAAGGGGAACATCACACACCGGGGCCTATCATGGGGAGGGGGGAGGGGGGAGGGATTGCAATGGGAGTTATACCTGATGTAAATGACGAGTTGATGGGTGCTGACAAGTTGATGGGTGCAGCACAGCAACATGGCACAAGTATACATATGTAACAAACCCATACTGTTCTCGTGGTAGTGAATAAGTTTCATGAAATCTGATGATTTTATAAGGGGTTTATCCTTTCACTTGGCTCTCTTTTCTCTCGTCTGTTGTCATTGTAAGACATGCCATTCATCTTCCACCACGTTTGTGAGGCCTCCCCAGCCATGTGAAACTGTGAGTCCATTAAACCTTTTCCTTTGTAAATTACCCAGTCTCAGGTATGTCTTTATCAGCAGAGTGAAAATGGACAAATACAGTGGTGCAAAATTAAATATAAAAAAGTACCCCAAATCCTTCTTCACATCAACAGATAAGATAGACTTGAACGTAAATGCTTAAACTATAAAACTTCCCATAGAAAATATAGAAAAATAACTACACGATCTATGGTAACCAAATATTTTAGAATGAATATAAAAATGGCATAGACCAAAAAATTGATAAATAGGAATCCATAAAAATTAAGATCTTCCCTACGTCAAACTTCACTATAAAGACGAAGAAAAGTCAAACCATAGGGAAAAAACATTTGCAATTCATATGCTTAAACAAGGACGTATCCTGAATACATCATAGACTCTTGTAACTCAATATAAAATGTTAAAAAGTGTTATCTGAAACCCAGGTGAAATGGATGTTCTATCGCTCCCCTACTTAGTTATGACTATATGACTAAGTTCTAGCTTGACTCACAAAAAAATAATCTCTACATAGTTCTCTTATACTTTACTTTTCCTTTTTTTTTTTTTTTCTAGATGCAGATGAGCATGGCAACGTGAGAATATGTCAGCGGCCCGAAGATGAAATGAGTGTAACTCCCTGAAATCCCTGTTAGAAGAGTCTTTCCACTGGTTGGGAACGCTAATTGTATTTTGAGTGAGAAAATAAATTTTTGTTATGTAAATCATTGACTTTGGGGGGCTTATTTGGTATAATCACTGATGTTATCCTTACGTAATATAGTTGCCTTGCATATTATTCTGTGTTCTTGTTGCAGCAACTCAGAATGTTACAGCAACTCAGAATGTTACAACTTCTGCATTGGAATAAAAAAAGGTTAGTTCCTTTGGAATTTTATGAGTTCCAAATTTTAAAATATTAAACCTTTAGAGCAATTATTTATATTGTAATAACAACGATATTTAGGGAAGAAAGACTAAATAAAAGGAGAAAGAAATCTCCTTGGCATTTGCCAGTAATTTACAGGTCAGTTAATTCTCAATAAATCCTGTACAAATGAAAAAATCAAGACTCACAAAAGTTAAATGGCTCTCCCATTCTCATCCAATTAGTAAATTGTGGACCCAGAATTTAAACACTAGATATTCTAACTTCAAGTGGTACACTTATCACAAGATAATGCTGCTTTTACAGGAAGACAAAAATACATGAGCCACAATATTTTCTCCATGTTATTGGAATAAGCAAGGTACATGTGAAGGAGAAAAGCAAGTAGATTGTAAAAACTGTTAGCATTTTTGAGAATTTTCTTTGTATAGTCACTGTGGTAAATACCTTACTTGCATTAGTTCCATTCATCTTACTACCAGTTTATAAGGTTGTTGCTATCACTCTGCATATTGTGTATCAGAAACTCAGGGTTAGAAGCTGAAGTAAATTCACCAAGATCACAGAGCAGGCAAGTTGAAGAACCAGAATTCACCCTGAGAGTCTCAAGTGAAGTATTTAGCGTCTTAATAATGTGCTATGTAGCTCACCAGGCCTTAAAACTGAAAAACAGAATTGAACTTTCAGATCTATTGATAATCGCAGAAAATTATCTCAATAGATACCGTCATTGTCAAAAACCAAGCTGTTTCATAAGACATATTCCAAGCATGTATGACACAATTGCCTTCCTTTTCTGTTCAATTGACTTTATTCACATAATCAGCAATCATTTATCATACTAAGTGCAAGCAGCGTGGGGCAGTAGTTTAGGATAAAAGGGTTTTAAAGACTTATGCCTTTACTTTTTTCTTTATTCCTTCTCTTTTAAGAGTCATAATTTCTCAAAAGGATACTGCTGAGCAATTTATAACATTTCCTATTATGAGCAGAAAAATGTACTCTATGACAACTTTTAACCAAATGATTTATTTATATATTCGTTTAATTAGCTGAGTACATCGAATTTCTAAAGCAATATTTCTCAATCTTTATTTAAACCATGCATCATCAGCCAAGAATTCTCTAAGCTCTACATTCTGTAATTTGTATTTTGAGCATTATAATTTTTAAGTTATACAATGATATTCTAATATTGCATATGATCTTAAAAATGCATATAAGTCACTCTATCCTACCACATCTCAGAACTCCCACTATCCTTTACTTTTTCATCCTGTCTTTGAGAATCCCTGTTGCAACACCAAAACATTCATTTTAAGGCTGACACATTCTTCTTCTAACTCCATTCTTACCTCCCAGAGCCATATTCAGTCTTTCCCCAACTCTGCCCTTTCCATCTGCTCCCTATATCATGAATTTTTAAATAGTGCTTCAGTATTTAAGCATTTTGCTCCTAAAAGTAGAGATTTATATCTCTATGATTTTATTCTGTCTTCTGATAGGTAACACTGAAAAAATTCATTTGTTCTTTAGAGGTGTGTGGCGGGTGGGAAGGAAGGACAACAAAGTATAAGCATTCAAGCTCTATCCACTTTGCTACACTTTGAGAAAATTAGTAATTAGGCTAATTGATTCTAAATGCAATCTACTGAACTTGAATACTATGTTTCCAAAAAGTAACAAAAAATAAAAAATAAAAAAAAAAAAAGGGAAGAAAGAACAGAGAACTAGGCTCCCCTGTCTGCCTTTGCAGAAAATAGTTTTTCTAGACCTCAGTTTTCTGTCCTGAACACATGAGCTTTTGTAACTTTGCAGATTTAAAAGGCTCTGTTGATTCTTCTGGAATGTGGATGCATGGGTACTAGGAAGACCATCTCCAACACAGTTCGAGGGGTCTTGAACACTAGTCTTAGAGCTGGGATGTATGAAAAAGACTCAGAATGAAGTGAAGCCATATGCTTCTTTCAAGGAAGAAGGAAACAGTGATAAGGTCAACCTGTGAGATATCACAGACACTGTGGGAAATTCTGCCATAGGGTAAGTGGTGAGTGAGCTGATTGAGAGAAAGTGCCTCAGCAGAGGTCTAGAAATGACAGGTATTTGGGAGGAAATGTCTCAGAGGGGGGTGTGGTCATTTTAATAGAGAGAAGAAATGAATACTATCACCCCTCTAACAACATTATAAATTGTCTACTGCTATGTGAGAACTGGGATTTCAGAATTAACTGGAGATGGTCAGGAAATGATTAAAGCACAATTTCACATTTATGTAGTTTTGAATACAGTACCAAGCCTAGTCAGTTACTGGTTGTGTCTGCTTGTGTCAATTTTTTTATCCTCTCTAAGCTTCAGTTTATTTGTGAAAAGGGGTTTACAAAACTTGTTTCATGGAATTCTTGAGATAAATTAAATTATGTATAAACATTCCTTACCAGCATATGGGAATTAATCATTCAGTGCAAGATATTTTTATAATTAAATAAGGATGTTATCTAGAAAACATTACCATAGTATATCTGTCATAGGCCGAGCAGGGACCGAGCAGTGAGTAAAGCCCTTAGGTACTACCACCTGAGCAAACAGAGGACAAATCCACAAGAACATTATTCCATTTCCTGCCATATGGCAGTTAATAGATACTCATGATGAGGGATTTCTTATTTACAATAAAAATATTTTTAAGCATATCCTTTGGGCCAGGCACTGTTCTGAGGTATCAGGTATTAACATGTTTAATCTTACCTGGTGAAGCACAGTCTATTAACATTTTTATTTTATAGGTGAAAAAATTGAGGAATGAAAAGACTAAGAATTAGTTCAGGGTCATTGAGATAAGCATAGCAAAGCTGGAAAAGAAGGAAGCCTAGTACAAGGACCATTTTAATCATCTTGAAATCATGCCTCTCAGGGTGGCGATACAGGGATAAGTGTATTTCATAGTTACAAACTCAAACCAGTGAATTAATGTTGTTTTACATTAGTTAAATGTGTGAATTCATAATGTCGATAGCCTAATTACACTTCAGTTATCCTTTAAAATGCTGGGAGGTAGCAGGATGAATATGGCCACTCTGCAATTTTTAAATCTGCTTCTAAATCAGTCTTCTGTATCTCAGTAAATGGCATCACTGTCAAACAATTTGCTGACTCCCAAATCTAGGAGTCATCCTTAAATTCTCGTTTTATCTCACTTTCCCTATTCCAATCCATTAATAACCCTAATAATTCTATCTGGGATCATACCCCAATCAATATATTTTTCTTCCTCTCCACTACTTCCACCTTAGACAAAACCACCACCAAACTCTCATGCTCACAAGTGTAATGTCTTCCCAACTGGTCTCCCTGATAAAGTTCATTCCCTTCACAGCAGCACTAATAATCTAACCTCTACCTCCCTCTATACCCCTTTCTACCTCTCTTCCTCTTACCCCCCTACATTTTGTCGACACTGGCGTTTTTAGGTTACTTGAAAAAAAGTTCATTTCCACCTTCAAGCCTGAACTTCGCATTATTCTTGCCTTCATTGTCATTCACCTTTCATGCTAAATGTCATTACCCTGAAAAGAACTCTCATAACCATGTAATTTGAAGTAAAACAAATAAAATGTCATTACAAAATTACTCTGAGAATTCTCATAGGGATGTACCAATAAAATAGTAGCAAATGTTAAGATGCTGTTAATTGCTCATGTGAGTGACAAACATTGAAATAGAAAAAGATTTAACTATCAATCAAATGGGCATTGGATTCATTGAGAATTAAAAATTGAATGCTAGTCTGTATATTTGAAGCCTACCATGCTCCTTGAAGTTTGATCTGTTTAAAAATGAGAGATTTACTCAGGATCAGCTGTAGGCATGCCTTGATTTGGCTTCAGCAGTGAGAAGTACTCAGCATTAGCCTCGAATTTAGAGAGGTACTTTAGTGCTTTGAAAAGGAGAACAAAAATTGCTTTGCTTCAAAAATGAATATTTATTTTTGCTCCACTGTCTCCAATGCCCTTTACAGACTTAATTAGACTAAAGAAGTAATTGGGGATTAGGAAAAAATACAGAACTAGAATAGATGGCAGACAAAGACTGTTGTGTTGCCTTCCTTCCTTCCCTTCCTTCCTTCCTTCCTTCCTTCCTTCCTTCCTTCCTTCCTTCCTTCCTTCCTTCCTTCCCTTCCTTCCTTCCTTCCTTCCTTCCTTCCTTCCTTCCTTCCTTCCTTCCTTCCTTCCTTCCTTCCTTCCTTTCAATATAGTCTTAGAAGAGATAAAGTACACTGAGGGACTTGGGACTCTGTTCATGTGTTTGTTATTAACGAGTTGAGATTTGCCGAAGGGGATTATGTAGCAGCTCAAATTGTCCTTTTATCTTCAAATTTTCTTCGGTTTGGAGGTAATAGGGACAAACCTAAAGCTGACTAATCCTATTTTGGGGAAGAATCAAGAAGCATCTCATGCTCTCAAGGGTACTTCTCTCATTAATAGCAGTAACAATCTCTACAGTTTATTGTGCATTCTGTTCCAGGATTTTGCCAGTGTCTTTTCATGGCATGTTGAATATGTTGCATTTAACATAATCCTCACAATCTTATGAAGTTGATATTATCATTTTCATTTTGTAGGCACAAAAACGGAGGCTTCAATCTCTTTTACAATTTACTCCCAAACACTCAGCTAGTACCTGATGGACTTGTAGGCTGAAACAATTTTATCTGCATTTAAGGCCCTTTATCTTAACCATTTCACAGTATTGCTTCATATCTGTGCCAGGAAACGTGGATTAATTAAAATTTCCAAAGCTCATCTGTTCATATCTCAAGCATTTTTATATCTAAGAGGTAGGAGTCAGTAATTGTCTGCTTCTACTTGCCTTCCTGAATGCAGGCAATTTCTAGTAATCCAGATTTCTTTCTTAGACACAGGATTCCCTTTTGTCTGCTTACCATTTAATTGCTTTTTAATAATTGTTAGAAACCATCTTAAATTTTCCTTC